AATAGATCTACAAATAATAAATAATGAAGAACATCAAGACGAAGAATCCTTAGAACAAAAAATAATATTTGATAATAATATATATTTGACCAAATAAAAGGAAAAAAATTAGATCTAAACATTGAAAAAATATTCGAAATACCAACAATAAGAATCTGGTTCAAACGACAACAAAAGAATATTATGTAGTAAGTCAAAGAGAACATATGATAGATTGCAAATACATTAAAGGAAAGGCCGAAATACCAATAAAAAATAAACGAATAATAAATAAAAAAATACAAGACATTAAGGCTAAAAATCCATTAAATATGTACAATTAGGAGGAACAGAAATACTAATAAAAGCATGCTTTAGAGAAGGAATAGATACACCCATAGAAATATACATAGAGGATGATAGTGTCATACAACCCATAGAAAAAAGTATATTAAATGCAGTAAAAGGTAACCTCATATACAGAAAATTTAAATTTATAATAAGCAATAACTACTCAGTAGCAATAAATGATAGAAACATAGATAAATCACTAGTATTATATTGAAAAATGTCGTGAATAGAACTAGCCCCGAAAAGTAAAACATAAAATAACAGCAAAAAATTAAATTAAAATAGAAGATCGTTTTGAGAGGATTGTAAGAGCCATAGATAAAAATAATTATAGTTATAATGAGATTGACAAAGAAGAAGACTTATAAATTGTAAAAGAAAGATTAAGCACATCAAAAAAAAAAAAAACTGTGAAATAACACAAATATCATCAAAAATGAGTACCTCAAGAAGAATAGATAAAACTCCACAAAAATAAATGGAAGATTAAATAAAACCACATCATTATTACATAATGGGAATAATGGAACAACATAAATTTTTAATATTAATCGAAACAGGACAAGAAGAAAATAATATTACAAAAGAATTAGTAACGAAAGATGTAATAATAACTACTGAGCAATCATGCCCCGAACTATCAAAAGCATTAGTGTATGCCGAAGAATCTGCATAAAAGGAAATAATGATTGGGGGAGTACCAATAGTAATAAAATTTAAAATATATGAAGTAGATGAAAATATTATTTTAGAAATATAATGGTTAGAACAAGGAAAATCATATAATCTAGAAGACAATCATTTTACAATAAATTATAAAAATGAAGGAGTAATAGTAAAAAAGAACTTGGCAGGATAAAAATATGAAAATATATATACTTGCAAAGATAATAATAGAGAAATATTACAACAAATATTATACATCGATGATAGATACAGGAAGGGAAGCTAATATATGTAAATACAATTGTTTGCCGGAAGATAAATAGAAAAAATTAAAAACTTCGATAGTAGCGACATGATTTAATAATGAAGGAAGCATGAGCACATATAAGACAAAAAATATCAAAAAACAAATATGGGATAAAATATTAAATATAGAAGAAATATATATTATTTTGAATTGACTACAAAAGATATAGTATTAGGAATGACTTTTTTAGAAAAATTATACCCAATTATAAAAACAAAAACACACTGGTGGTTCACAACATCATGTAAATAAAAAATAGGAGCACAACCAGTAAATAACAAAAAACGAAAAACAATAGAATGGATTAAAGGAAGTGAGAAAATTACGCAAAAGTTAGAAAATATAAAATAAGAAGACCCTAAGATAGAATTAATTATATTCTCCATAAATAAAGTAATAATACTCCAACATAAGTTAGAATTATTATATGGTGAAGACCTTTACAAGGATGAGAAAAACATAAACAAAAATGTAAATTGAGTTAATTTATAATAATAGTATAATAACCCAAAATATATTAAAATATAATTTTAATGATTTAATCGAATTTAAGATAAATATAAATGAATTATTAGAAAAACGATATATACAAGAAATAAATAGTAAGCACAGAAGCCCGATGTAACGGCCTGTTTAGTCGTTTTGAGCAGTAAAGTTTAATTCTGGTAATAACTGTCTGGGTCGACGGATCCCACGACAGATCGTTATGGGCACGACGGACCTTCAAGGGTGTCTCGTTCCAAAACAAATAAACTATGGAAATTTGGGTACTGATATCGACTCTCTGAACTTCGCGATGACATGGCAGGATGGACTGTCGTAGGCACGACGGACCGTCATAGGGTCTTAAATGAAATTGAGTCTCTGAACTCTGTGACAACTCAGCAGGACGGACCGTCGCAGGCACGACGGCCTGTCACAGGCTGCGTAACCCTGACTGGGTCGGATTTTGGTTAAAAGTCTAAAGGGGTGTTTTGGACTATTCATGCTTATGATTATAAAGTTAGTGGCTTAATGTTAATAATTCAATTACTTGGGGGTTAAAGGAGATAACTTTGAAATAAATAGTCGGTTAATTTTACCATCTTTTATACTTAATTATATGGTAATTAGGGTAAAAGAAAAAGGGGTTGAATAAAGAAAAATAGAAAGAACAGAGAGAAGAGGGGAGAACGAACGAGAGAGGGAGAAACGAAAAGGAAAGCAAAGCATTGGAGAAGTTGACTGGTTGATCACGATTCTTTGATGGAGGTAGGTTATGGTTTATGCTATTTCATAGTAAACTCTTAATATCGACTGATATGTATTGGGTAGTACTGTAAAGTCTTCTATATGCTTAATTGTATGCTTGCATGATGTGATTATGTAATTGTAATGGGTTGGAAAGATAAGGCTGCGAAGCTTAAACCTAAAAACCCTCTCTGTTAATGATGATGCCTTAGTATAAAAGAAGGCTTGATGAACTAAAAGAATGAGGTTAATGGATCGGGTGTCACGTTCTGACACCAGGATAGTAGTAGTGTATCGGGTGTCACGTTTCGACACCAGGATAGTAGTAGTGGATAAGGTGTCATGTTCCGACACCAGGATAGTAGTAGTGGATCGGGTGTCACGTTCCGACACCAGAATAGTAGTAGTGGATCGGGTGTCACGTTCCAATACAAGGATAGTAGTAGTGGATCGGGTGTCACGTTCCGACACCATGATACTAGTAGTGGATCGGGTGTAACATTTCGACACCATGATAGTAGTAGTGGATCGGGTGTCACGTTCCGACAGCAGGATAATAGAGGATCGTGTGTCACGTTCCGACACCAGGATAGTAGAGGATCGGGTGTTACGTTCCGACACCAGGATAGTAAAAAGAATGAATCTTGAATCAGGTTAATATACTCAAATTTAAAGAACCTATTTCCCAAACGACTATGGTGTGGAGGCGTGAGGCCTCATAGATATGCTTGGTTTGTGGCCAATGGTTATGGTACTTGTTGTTGTTATCTGTTGAGTATGGTAGTCGATTTTATGTTATTATCTGATATATATTTCTTTCTATTTTGAGTTGGCCGATGATACCTACTCAGTACTTGTACCTTGTACTGACCCCTACTTGTATGTTTCTTTCTTTGTTATTTGTGGAGTGCAGCAAACGTGCCATCGACTTTGACTCAACCGCAACTCTAGCCAGACTTCAGTATAATCAGATTTCAGTGTGAGCTATTGTTCCTAGCTTCCTAGATACTCTTAGATTTAGTAATTGAGGATAGAATGTTCTTGTGGTGATGACTTCCAGATTCTGGGAAATAATAAGTATTAAATTTTAGAAGCTATTAATTGATTTCGTTAATGATTCTTAAGTCTTCCGCATTATATTCTGTTTATTATGGTTGAAATGTTGGGGTTTTGATTGGTTGGTTCGCTCACATAGTAGGATAAGTGTGGGTGCCATTCGCTGCTCGTTTTGGGTTGTGACAAACTTGGTATCACAGCATTAGGTTCGTTGGTGTCATCACAGAAGAACGAGTCTAGTAGAGTCTTGAGGAACGGTAGGGGGACGCCTTTACTTTCTTTGAGAGGCTACATGACTTTAAGAAAATTCCATTCTTTCTTTCTTTCGTGCTAGTACTTGGATCCAATTGGTATCTAGGTGATACAAATTGGTAACTGACCATCTTCACTCTATTTCGCAGATGGTTAGAACTAGAGCAACAACTGCGCCAACACCAACGCCGGCAAGAAAAGATGCATCTGGACCTGCCACTGAGGCTGTAACTCGAAGAGGAGCAGTGGCAAGAGGCCGTGGTAGAGGTCGCGGGAGGACGTCCTCTAGAGGAAGAGGACAAACACCTGGCCCATCTAGTACTAGGGCGGTGACTCCTCCACCAACTGAGGAAGTAGTAAGAGAGGGTGAGGAAGGGGAGAATAAGCAAGTGCAGAATGAAGAATTACCACCCCAACCTACCCCCAGAGATGATTAATCGGGTTCTTGCTTATCATAGCGGGTTATCTGATCAAGGAAAGACACCTCCAGTATTTTCTACACCAGCACCTCAGGTTCCGGGAGTACAACATGCAGCTATTGTGGCTCCTCGCATGGATGCCTCATTGGAAATAGGCACGTTTCCTCGATTGACTACAGGGCCTATAATGACAAGTGATCAGCATGAACTTTTCAGCAAGTTCTTGAAATTGAAACCTCCAGTCTTCAAGGGTGCTGAATCTGAGGATGCCTATGATTTTCTTGTTGATTTTCATGAGCTACTACACAAGATGGGCATAGTAGAACGATTTGGCGTCGAGTTTGTGACCTATCAATTTCAGAGGAATGCCAAAATGTGGTGGCGATCGTATGTTGAGTGTCAATCAGCACAAAAACCACCTATGACTTGGGCATCATTCTCTAGCTTGATTATGGAGAAGTATATACCCCGGACATTGAGGGATAGGAGGAGAGATGAGTTCCTGAGCCTAGAGCAAGGCAGGATGTCGGTTCACGTGGGCGTATTTTCTTAGTTCCGAATCTTAGGTATTTTTCATGTTCAAGAATATTTTGGCTTACATTGGTCCTTTTGAGCCTACTCGGTGCTCTACTAGAGTATTGTGTACTCCAAACTTCCATGGATTTACCTCCACTTTATCTAACATCTTTGTTACAACTTATTACTCACAAGATTCCAAGCATGACTATTGGCAGAAAGCAATGGAGGAAGAACTTCTTGCTATTAAAGAAAATGACACATGGGACACTGTTTCATATCCTTCAAATGTCCGCCCTATTGGATTTAAATGGGTTTGTTAAATCAAACTCCGTAACTCCTTGTCGATCCAAACATAGATTGGTTGTTCTTGGTAACAAACAAGACTATGGCATGGACTATGAGGAGACATTTGCACCCATAGCAAAAATGACTACAATGCGAACTATTATTGCCATTGGTGCTTCACAATACTAGTCTCTTTATCAAATGGATGTCAAAAATGCTTTTATCTATGGTGATGTGAAAGAAGATATTTATATGAAACCTCCACCAATTTTGTTTTTAAGCCTACATCAAGTGTATGAAAGTTGAAGCCGTCTTTGTATGGATTAAAATAAATTCTAAGGGCTTGCTTTGATATGTTTTGATCTACTTTGCTACAGTTTTCGTTTAAGCAGACCAAATATGACTCATCTTTTTTTCTTCAAAAAACATCTGTAGGTTGTGTTCTTCTTTTGGTGTATGTAGATGAGAGCATTATCACAAAAACCGATTCATTACTAATGACTAGCCTATAACAACATCTTAAATTTTCTTTTCATATGAAAGATCTTAGTACTCCTACATAGTTTATTAGGTTTGGAAGTTCATAATGTTGCTCCAGATGTGTTTCTAAACAAACACATATATGCTCAGGATCTGAATTCTCTTGCTGGCTGTCAAAATTCCTCCTCCATAGATACTACATTGAAAATTAATGTGGAGTATCGTCGTGAGGAAGGCAATATTTTTCCTGATCCAACTAAGTTTCTACAATTAGTTTGGAGTCTAAATTACCTTAGTATTACTCATCCTAATATCTCTTTTGCAGTTCAACAAGTTAGTTATTTTATGCAAGCTCCCCTTCATCTCCACTTGGTGGCTGTTCGTCGCATCATTCAGTATCTTCTAAGAATATCTACTCGTGGATTATTCTTTCCAAGTCGTTCTTCTATTCGTCTTAATTCTTTTAGTGATTCTGATTGGGCAGGATGCCCTGATACTCATCGTTCAATCACTGGTCGGTGCATGTTTCTTGGAGAGTAACTGATATCTTGGAATAGTAAGAAGCAAGATCGTGTGTCAAAATCTTTAAGAGAGGCTGAATATCATTGCATCTCTACTGTTTTCTCTAAGGTTGTATGGCTTCGTGGATTACTTTGCTGAGAATGGACTTCCTCAATCTCATCCTACCCCTCTCCATGATTATATTACAAGTGCTATTCAGATTACTAATAATCTAGTTTTTCATGAGAGGACCAAACACATCTAAGTCGATTGGCATTATATATGAGAAGCTATATATAAAGGATTCATTACTCTATCATGTATCCAGTGATTTTCAAATTGATTTTCAAATAGCTGATGCATTTACTAAATCTATGGCATGACAATCCCATCAATTTCTAGTAGCAAATTGATGCTTCTTCATCCACCTGCATCAATTTGAAGGGGGAATTTAGCATGATGGAAATCTAAATAATTGTATATATTAATGTTATTATATAGTTATATAAATTAGCATGATCATATCGATTTATTTTAAAATCAAAGATATAAATATTTTGATAGAATAGCGATTTTGGAGCGATTGAATGGTAGATTTGTAGAGATAGAATAGTAGATCTTTATGGATCGAACTCTAAATTGTAGTGATATAATAACTTACTCTAGGGATAGAATCTTTAGGGATTTGTAATCTTTATGTTCTCTATATAATGGAAACACTCTCTGTTTGAGAGAAATTCAGTAGAAAATTGACAAAAAGTAGATCTTTCCATTGTTTGCTTAGAAACCAACGGCTTGAGAAAATTGGAAGAATTTTTATAGGACAACAATAGAAGTGTGATCACCTCTTAAAGAAAACAAAATATCATATGAATAGCATAGGTGAATATTACAAAGTTCGGAGCACTTAGGATTGTAGCAGTAACAAGAAACCATCGAGACATAGAATCTCCTTGTCTAAATATCTTAGTTTCATAAATAGGTTAACTGGGCTAACCATTTAGTATGATTTAATATTCAAAAATTTGCAAACACTTTAAAATCCACACAATGAATAAACTAGGAAAGCAAATTCAATCTAAAATAAAAAATGTCTTCTATACTAGTTCCACATAATCTTTTAAAGAAATATATATAGTATCATTCTACTCAAGGAGATTTCTATTTCCTATTGCTTTTAATGCTTCATATACTTTCTATTTAAGTTAACTTTTTTTATAACTTCACTCCATGAGAATGAAAAATAGTTGGACCCTTTTGCATTACCGGTATGTTGATACCATGAAGAATTTGTTTGGTAGTTCCGATAATTCATTTGTAGGAGTGCATACCATATTTTTTAAAGTCGTACAGATTAGTCATTTTAACCTTTGTGATGTATAAGCTTATACATACGTCTTTCTTGTATTCATCTCCTTCATCGTTAAAGAAAAGTATTTATTGTTGATATCTGCTTTCTTTATCCATTGAACTCTTCATTTCTTTCTCCGGGAACTTTCTTCAATAGTACTCCAACTTTCAATATCCTGCAGAGGTTGTTTTAATTTATGGAGTTGATCAGCTGCGCATGTGACACTATCTGGCAATATCCATTCCAGCATGGGTGATATTTTATGTAGTATTCTAGAATTGTTCATTATTTAGTCCTTAAACACAGACTTGAGAGGTTTGAGTTTTTCCCACACTTTAACTACCTTGTCTTTTAAACACTATTGATTCTTGATAGTTCTACAATATAATTGAATTATTATCACAAATATTGAAGAATTTAAATGAACGTTTGGCCCTCCATATAACCCTTTCCACTTAGTCTAGCATTCAAAATTATATGTGGTTTTAGGAAGATCATACATAGTAACTATATGTTCCCATTGCATCATCATTCTGAGTTTTCAAATATTCTATGGATTTTTCTATGGTTTCTATTTGTTCGTAGTTGTTTATTGCTTCATGTATAATAGTATCCCTTCCATAGTAGTTCATGAATCCATATATCTTATATGCGCTTAGTGAAGTAGCTGTTATATCTATAGTTGTGAGATGAGCCCCATATATTCTATCACTCTGGAGGACAAAATTAGAATGATTATCTATTATCTCTTGCTCTGAGACACCTTTGTTAATATGTATTTAACTTATCCCGACAGTATTTTTTTTCTCTACCTAGTTGAGTCTATATACTAAAGTAAGGAGACACTTAAGATTACTAGCTCTGGTAGTAATTCAACAGTGAATAACTTTGGATGTAGAGCATATTTAAGAATCATCTAATAATTTGAATCCTAGCCTATCCATCCACTAAATCGTGATAGTTATGTAGGGTGTTCTACTTAAGAATCAGATGATTAGCCACATTGATTGAGTTTTGTTCGTCAACTCTTGTTTCAACCATTCGACCAAGATTATTATGATTATTATTCCGATACTGATTGAGATACATATTGACGAGCCATTTATTAATACCTTGCACTTTCTAGATGATCCATGCATTGAGGTAATTAAGAAAGGTCTTCTTTATAAGGAGGGTGTTTGTTGTTGCAAAATGTATCTCTCTTATCAAATCATATACCATACATGTTTTTAGAGTTTCCTAAGTTTGCTTTAAGGAGGTACGTTAGTACTAGTCTGAGTTAAAGTTCCTTAAGGATCATGAAAGCTAGGACCTGCAATTTTTATGGTTCCTCCTGATCTTTGAGGGTGTTGAGCATATATTCTAGTAACCTGATTTTTACCTTTTGTGATGATCTTAGAGGGAACAACATCTTTATCCATCCATATTTGTTAAATCTTCCTTAACTCAGGTTTCTTCCATTGTTTTGCTACTAGATCTTTTATATCCTGTGGTTGGAAGGAGAGTAAAAATACTGAACATACATTACAGAAGTTAGAGTGAAAGACATACACTATTTTCTTCTAATACAGATTATAATCAGGATCCAAAACAATTATGTCATAGATAAAGGTTTTATAGATATTCACTTCTATCAACATCCCTGTGAATGTGATTCTATTTTTTTAATGTGCAGTCATTACCATAACTAGGAATCCCCAAAACACTCACTATTCTAAAAAATAATTTTGTCCCATCATACAACATTGGAAAATTTGGAATTTTAATAAAGAAGTGAATTAATGTAGGAGTCAGTTAAATAAAAATGCCGAGTCCAAGGTTTTTGAATAACGTGCTTATAGTTCATTGTGTATTTACTAGAAAAGAGTAGATCATTGAAATATATGGTGAAATGGAATATTACGTACTCTCCTTCTTCATGGTAGAAAAGCTTTGGTTACGCATAACATGCCCAGAATTTCCCAATATATCTATTAATAGCATTATTCCTAGTGTTATACGCAAGTAAAAATGAGTTCCACTTGGTTACATCTCTATAAATTGCCTCTTGTATTAGTTGTACCATTTGTTTCCCGTTCATAGTTTCTTAATGGATATATTTTATAGCCAAACCATTTTTTGATGCCCCATTATTAGTTAATAAGGAGGTCCACATAGAATCTTGTTGTATGTGGTACCGTTAAACCCAAAAACATCAATGTTGTGAGCAAGTGGATATTGAGATTCTCTTTTTGCAGATCTGGGAACTGTTGTTTCATTTATTCCTCGGGTATTCAAAACTAGAAGTCAATAACTATGCTTCAATTCATCTAGTGTGATGAATATTAGTTGTACCCTCCTCAACAATTTATCGGCCTAGAGGAGGTACTACTCATGGGTGGTTTTAAACCTAGTGGGTAGTGTTGTGGTAATTTATTTTGCCTTGGTCAACATGGTTCATTAGTGGTATAGAATTGTGTATTATAGGATTAAGATTTTTTTGATTTCTTCCTCTACATCTTTCACGACTTCTAGCCATGGCAGCCACTAGTAGCGAATGTTAAACTAATGTGATCTACCTTAAGAATTATTCTATTTTATCTATTTATTTCCGAATAATGCTAATTCAACGCAACATTAAAATTCCCATTTGGTGTTAAACTTTTGAAATATTTACTAAATTAAATTTGGTTAATTATTCAAAGGAATAAGTTTATATTGGGTGACTGGAGCTTGTCCATCTTGTATAACCGCTTCAGCTTGTTTGAACAAATTGGGCATAAAAATGTTCTGTTAGAAAAGGAATATTTTTGTGGCTGTTCGTGGAAATAAAGACCTTGATAGACATCATTTGCATTTATCTATGGATATTTGTTCATTACCTTTCATGACACGTGCAACCTAATCACCGAAACATTTGCCACAACATGAATTGTGTCGATACTTTGGTGGGTAATTCATTTTTATGGAAAAAACTTTTGTGATTAATTTCCATGTGTTATAAATGGAAATGAACAATAGATCTTAGATAAATGCATGTGAAGTCTATTGTAACTCATTTTTTCAAAAAATAGCCACAAAAGTCATCATTTTTTAAAATGACATTCTTATTCCCAATTGACAAATGCATTCTAAAAGTTACTTGAATTGTTAGAGTGGTTTCATTGGAAGCCTTGAAAGGATTATGATCTAATGGCAGAATGATGGATCAAAATTATTAATATTGAAACATAGAACAAGCATTGCTAGTATGTTTCCCTTGAGATTTATATTCATTGGAGAATTAAATTCATTTATGTTAAAGAAAATCTTAACACTCTGAGAGGACTTATGCTTTCAATGTTCTATTGAGGTGATGTCTAGATATATGTTATGAAATATTTTCTATTAATTGTCCTTTTATTTGTGTAATAGATAAAAATACAATACCTTAATGATCATTTTTTAAGATTTTGTTCTTCAAATTCACAAAAAATGAGCACTTTAAAACACATCCTAGTATTGTGAATTAAAAATGTTGAGTTAATTTAAAGCTCAAAAGAGTCATGTTTTTCCCCTTCAAAAATATCAGTCAAAGAAATCTAGTTTTTGATTAGAAGGTAATTAGTCAAATGTGGTCAAAATTTTCTTAAATTTCTCCTCCTGAAATCTTTCCTTTTCTTTAAAACAGACTAGAACTATAACATCCCAAAAAAATCACAATCAAGAC